TTCAACATTAACTTATTTATTCATTTTTTCCACAAAAACAGGGATGAATTTATCAAAACGTAAGTTTTGCTCAACACTGACACTGACAATATAACGTAATCATATCAATAAGCCCAAATTTATTAACTTAATTTGACCTGTTGATACGTTATTTTGCAGTTACAAAAGTGTTAAGTTTTAAAGATTAACTACTAGATTATAATAAAAGTTTGTCTATTTTCATAGATACCTATAAAGGATTGGTAATGATTGATGGAATCCACTTTATTGCTTCCAACATTGGTGAGCGTGTACTTATCACATCACGTGCACATAGTGGTTCAGAAGGGATCAAAATGGATCTTAATGTTCATAGATTTCACGATAAAGAAAGAACTTTCAATTATGAATTAATGGATCCTTACAGCTTGATAAATCCTGCCAATGCTAATAAACTTTTTAGTTGTAAAATTAAACCGCCATACATAATTAAATCAAACAATATCATTTATGCAAATGATGAACTATTATTTATTAAAAAATTGGTAAAAGATAACTGGATTAGTTACTTGAGGAATGATTTGAGTGATTACAACAAAATTTCGACACCTTCAGTTAGAAGTGAAATTATTGATTTTATAAAAGAACATGATAGTGGAGTTAAAGTACCAAGGATTAGTCTTTTTGAACGTAGAGAGGAGGAAGAAGAAACGATAAATACATATGAAGGACATTTGATAAAATGGACTTTAAAATGTAAATCTACCTCATTTACACTTGAGGCATCTCAAATAAAATCTGAACCATCTGATAAACAAACATTAAATTCGTACGTAAGGAAATGTAAACAACTTAAAAATGATGATCTTTTCATGATTACAGGAAAATGTGTATTTCTTTGGACATTTAGCCCACCCAAGGATATAAGTGCGCATTACATTTGGGGTGTTGGCAGAGACCTTTTAGACATAGATTTGGAAGAGATATTCAACAATCCTTTGGCAGAAAGATTTCTTCCACATCCTGACTTTAATGGAATTATCAAAGCGGTTAATAATGAATCAGATGAAAATATCACTAAATTATGTAATTCGTTATTGAAAACTTATATTGAAGAAAATTTTTTTTTAGCATATCATGGGAAAATCCTTATGGAAAACCTTTTAATGTTAGATCAGGACTGGTTGATTGAAAAATTATGCGAGAGTTGTATTAAAAACTGCACATATAATGACAAGAATGGCTGTTATTTACAAAATATTTGGTTACTAAGTATTATTGCACAATTTTATTCAGAATTAACTCAAAAGAATCCTGCAATCGTGTATAAATTTTTATCACAGATGACATTTGTGATTCCTTCTGTTGAGAATTACGATCGATATTATAATTCTTTATCATCATCACCTCATCTTCATCATTTTGGTGCAGATTTAGATATGTTAATTTCATCAAAATTATTTCGACCAGCTGAATTTTATTCTATTTTTTGTGGT